ATGTCGCCCATGGTCTCCGTTATAATTCACTGTGCTTTTGACAGCTTGACCTTTCAACAGCACCAGTCTCACATCTGAGTCTGTTACAGTAATGACTCCATCATCTTCCCTGTCTTTTAGAGAACATCATTTCAGCCTTTTCTTTGCGAACCACTGAGTCAGAGACAGAAAAGGCCGTGCGTAAACCAAATCTGCCCTAAGAACGTTTATTACAAGCATCTAATGGGTGTTTTAGAGGTAGTGAAATGAAGGATATAATGATTTTAAAGTAAGCCAGTTTTCCTTGTTTCCAAACATGTTCACGACTTAATATATTGTAATTTTGTTCTCTGTTTTAGTTACTGTATTACTGTTTTGCCTTGATGTGGTGTTGTTTACCCGTAGTCATCATTTTAATTCCCTGAACAGTTTTAACATTGACGTCTCTCCGCTCACGCTGACTCACATTAGTGTCATACTTCACTAGCATTACGTGTGTCGGATATGAAGCTATTCCGCTTGCATTAGACTCGCATGAATCATCTATCTGCTTCACACATCTTATAGCGCTCTCTCACTTTATGGAAAATATTGAATGTAGGGCTGTCAATTACAATGCTGATTTAATTATTTAAAGCATTAATACATTTTTTTATTTTTATTTATTTTAAAATATACTTTATTTATGAACTTCTAAAAGTATATTTTCTCATGCCTGATTTTTATTTTATTTTATAGTTGTATTTGTATTTTTCATTTTAAAAGTAGGACTGTTGATTTAATTTGTTAATTTGATTGTAATAGTAATACACTTGTTATTATTTTAGAATTAATTTTTATATATTTGTATTATTTAATCATCATTTTTTAATTTACTGTATTTCTGATGCTATGTTTTCTTATGTCTGAAAGGTCATCATTTTAATTCCCTGAACAGTTTTAACATTGACGTCTCTCCGCTCACGCTGACTCACATTAGTGTCATACTTCACTAGCATTACGTGTGTCGGATATGAAGCTATTCCGCTTGCATTAGACTCGCATGAATCATCTATCTGCTTCACACATCTTATAGCGCTCTCTCACTTTATGGAAAATATTGAACGTAGGGCTGTCAATTACAATGCTGATTTAATTATTTAAAGCATTAATACATTTTTTTATTTTTATTTATTTTAAAATATACTTTATTTATGAACTTCTAAAAGTATATTTTCTCATGCCTGATTTTTATTTTATTTTATAGTTGTATTTGTATTTTTCATTTTAAAAGTAGGACTGTTGATTTAATTTGTTAATTTGATTGTAATAGTAATACACTTGTTATTATTTTAGAATTAATTTTTATATATTTGTATTATTTAATCATCATTTTTTAATTTACTGTATTTCTGATGCTATGTTTTCTTATGTCTGAAAGCAGGAATGGCAATTTAACATGTTTATTTAATTATTTTTTAGTTTTTATTTAATTAAAAAATATTTGTATGTGTATTTGGCTGCTAAAGCTGCGCTTTCTCATGATTTTATAGAGGATAAGAAATATTAAGAATAGGGCTGTCAATTTAACATGTTGATTTAATTATTTAAATTATTAAATTATTTTTTTCATGTATTTATTTTTTAATATTTTTATTATTTAATCATTATTTAACCATTTATAATTGCCTTTTAACACTACTTTTCATTTCTATTCAGTGATTTTTTTTTTAGATTAGAATGTATTAATAAATGTAGGACTCAATTTAACATGCTGATTTAATTACAGGAATTATATACTTATTTCATTATTTATTTTTATTATTTGATTATTTATTAGCTACATTTTCTAATGTACAATATATTTGGTAATTTACTGGTCTGTCAGAATAATGTAAATGATCAATTTAATGAATCAGTGTATCATGATTAATGTGTTACATTTTTAATTGATCGACAGGCATAATTTAAACTCCAGCAGACTGTAGGAGTTATATGTATCTTATGACAGTGAATCTGAGCATGTTTCTCTCTCTGGAGGGCTCGTGGACGAGTCTGACCAGCACCTGCTCAGGGAGCGACTGCATTTCGTTTGCTCTTATCAGCAGCTCTGTTTGCGGTAATTAGAGCCGTCCACTCGAGTCTGTGTGTGTCCAAACAGAAGCCTTTCACAGAGCCATAAAGAGACGCTCAGAGCACATTTTATAATTGCTTGCGGTAGTAGATCATCATAAAGCCTCCTAATGGAGCCTGATGCTTTATTTTGTGGCTGGCCGGTCTGTGTGTGTGTGTGTGATCCGATCTGTGAGTGTGAGTGTGTGTGTGTGTGTGTGTGTGTGTGTGTGTGTGAGTGAGTAAGGTGTGTGGTGGCTCATTGGATCTGTCTGTGGCAGATAAGAGCACACACTCTGAGGGCCGAGTAGGATTCGGGTTTTGGCGGTTTGTCACGGTCCGCTGCACACTAGAGGTCAGTGTTAGTGGCCCATGGAAGACTATTTACAGTCAATATGAAATCTAAATTGACTTAATGTATGGACATGTACATCTCTGTCTTTTTGATTGATCAGTGTACATTATTGTAAAGATAAAAATTATGGTCTTTGTAATCTGTGACCAGAATGTACTAACGTACTCCACCTCTAGAAGTAAAATTAGTTGCATTTTATTTTGATTTTAAAGCACCTTTGTTATTCGTGATAAGGGTTATTATAGATAAATAAAACTAAAACCTTAAAAAATATTTTGTTATTTAATAAAGTGCACGTTAACTAACAAAAAAAGAAAAAAAGAACTGGAATTTATTTTATTTCAGTTGGTTTGCAATGAAAAATTTCTCTTTTTCATTTAATTTAACTTGTACTAAATTAACTAAAAATAAAACTGAAATAAAATTAATAAAAACTATATTGACATAATGAAAACTAATAAAAATGACAAAAATACACAACAAAACTGGACTGGAACTTAAAGGTGCAATAGGTGATTGTCTTCAGAAACATTTTTTGTTATGCTGGTTGAAAGTCTCTTCACATCCCGATAGCAATCATTAAGTTAAGTGGTCTAAATGTATTTGTCTGTATTTATATATTCTGTGGAAGGTGTAGGGTCTGTGAGTGTAAATGCGTTCAGGGGGCGTGGCTTTGGACGGCGATTGCAGGGAGGGTGGGACGTTCGCTTTCAGTGCTATCAGGCTAAAGTTAGCATTTTCCAAGATCTCCTATTGTACCTTTAATTTATTTCAGCTAGTTTCCAAGAAAACATTTCTATTTTTCATTTAATTTAAATAAATAAAAAACAAACCTAATGCAATAAAAAAAATAAAAAAAACGTTTAAAAAAAGTTGTTAATAAAAACTATAATAGTATCTCAATTTAGTATCCCGCAATTATTATTATTATTATTTTTTAACATGGTTTAATTTATATGTACTATAAATACTTTTACGTGTTTTTGTGCAATTTTGTGTAAAGCAGTTATTAAAAAGGTTATTAAAAATAATATCTAAAAATAATATGACATTTTTATATCACAACATTGATTTGTGTCATCAGGATTTTCTTTGCTCTTTTATACTCATTTTGCTATAATTTTATGTGGAGGGGTTGAAACTGAGCTCATTATGAGCTTATTAACATATGATCGCCCACTTTTACATATCAATAGCCATTCAGTATTCAGCAACTTGATCAACAACCATCATAACAATATAACAAAGCACAGAGAAACTGGGAATGGTCATTTAAACTAAATTCTGCTGTTTGTAATGCTTGAGAGAATCCTTGACTAACATTATAACTGGGCAGCTGGGAGAAATTACATGCTACAAAAGTGTAAAATACAACCCTTTAAAGTCCATGATTTGCTCTATTGCATCCACCCACCCAGCCTGCGCTACTGAAGCTTCCTGCCGAACTGCTCGATCGCCATGGTAACCCCTGGCAGGTCTCCGCTTTTCCTCCTTGGCCCTGCTAAATTTGGGAACAATCTGGAAGACGTTAAATGTTAAATGACTCGCCTTTATCACGCCTGCTGAAATGTTAAATGCATATTTAAATGATAAGAAATACATATATCTTCAATGAAATGTCAAATTTGCTTTTCAGAGGTTCTTTATACAATAATTAACTACACTGTAATTGCTGTAGATTTTACTTTGAAACAACTTCCACCTAGAAATTGCTAATAAATTTCACAAATAATTACAAACAAATGGCAAAGTAACACATCGAATTAAACATGACATTTTGAAGTAGAAAGACTATGTGCTTGTAAACATACTCCAATATTTTTTTTTTTACAGTGTACATTGGAAAAAAAATTGGTGTAGAATTTACTTAGAAACTTTCAATCAGAAATTGCTAGTAAGTACAATGGCAAGTTTAAGTAGAGTGACTGAAATAGTATTTTCTTGTAAAAATACTCCAATAACTACTGAAAAGTCATAGATACAGGATTCATAAATTCTAGCAAAATACCATAGTTACTGCTGTAAAATCATAGTAAATTAATAAAGAAGATTGATTCATCTTTTGATGCCAGAGATGACCAATAGTAAGTTGTAATGTTAACTGTACTATTGTATTTTGGTGTGAACTATGATGAAAAGTATGGAAGCCCATTTATGCAACAGAATAAAAAATAAAGGTAATTGTGACTTTTTATCTCAATTCTGACCTTTTCCCCCTCAATTATGAGTTTATATGTCACAATTCTGGCTTTGTTTCTCTCGGTTCTGATTTTTTTCTCAGAATTACAAATAGAAAAAAAAAAAATATTTATAAAATAATAATATTTGTTTTATAAAATATAAACATAAAATTATAAAATTAAATTAAATATAAACAGAATTGCAAATATAAGCACAGAATTCCTACTTTTTTCTTGCAATTGCGAGTTTATATCTCACAATTCTGTTTATATCTCAAAATAATTTTTTTCTTTTTTCTTATTTTATTCTGTGGCGGAAATAGGCTTCCATCAAAAAAAGTGTCTTTCGAATGAGTGTCCAAACTAAGAAAGCTGTTTTTGTGTGTATTTTCCAGGATACTGCGGGGCAGGAGAGATACCGCACCATCACCACGGCGTACTATCGTGGAGCCATGGGCTTCATCCTCATGTACGACATCACTAACGAGGAGTCGTTTGGAGCGGTGCAGGACTGGTGAGTGACCCAGAGCCGTGTGGGAGGAGGAGATGCGATCGCAGCCAAAATCCCTGGACAAATCCTCACGGCCATACAATGATCACGCAGGGCCGCTTCTGCAGTATTTGAAGCATTTCTGCATAACAGATTGTATGTGTGTGTGTTAGCAGAACAAAACTGCAGTGTGTAAGAGAACTGTATGTATGTTATTGTTTCACCAACACAAACGCCGTGAGTCTGACAGCCTGAAGGAAAGAGAAAATGATCAGAGAAATATCTCATTACACGTCACCATGAGCTTTAGTGACTCATTATTGGGGATAAATATAATAGCAGTAGGTTTTTACACAGAACTTTAAAGATATGTGACCAACAAAACTGTTAAACCCGAAGGAGAATTTTTTGTAATATCAAAAAATTTTTTGCAATGCATTTTTTATATCACCACTATATACTTTTTTATATCACCACTATACACTTTTTTTTTTTTTTTTGCATGTTTTTCCAAAAAAAACAAAATGTTGGTCCTGTATTGGAATATTTAATATTTTGCTCTGCTCAGTGATTCACATCCGCTTTAACTTATAAATTGATGTATTTCTGAGTGAACCAGAAAATTAAATGGGAAATAATGTAAAGTAGGACATTATTAATTTTTAAAATTAATTTTAAAATGTAGGTTATGATATAATTAATATTATATTTTTAATTAAGAATTATTCATTTTTATTTTTATTTAGATTAATATATATATATATTTTTTTTCTTAAGTATAGGACTATAGGTATGTGTTTTGGGGTATATTTTGATACTTGATATTTTAAACTTAAAGCTTTTATATATAATGCATTGCATTGTAAATATAGTTTTATTGCATGAATTATGCCTTGTAATGTACCTCCTAATGCATTGTATGATCTCATTAATAATTATAACCACATTTAAAATACATTTTAATTTATCTATTTATTGTTGCACCTTTAGAATGTTAAAACTCATGACAAACGATCCTTCAAATATTATAATGCATTTTAACTTTGGTTGCAATTATTTATAAAAAAAGATATAATGCATTACAATGTACATTATCAGTACTTTATCATGCATTATAAACAAAGGCTTTAGGTAAAGTGTTACCAAACAGACTTATTTTGAATATTTCATTCACAATAAGACGAAGAGAGTAAATCGGCTCAGTTTTGAATTCAGCTGGAATAAACGGCCCTCTGAGCAGTTAAAGAGACCTTCGAGGAAAAGTGGCATCATTGAGTCTTCAGGAATCCATCTGGTTAATATTTAATAAGAGTCATTTAAATTTCTCTTAGTATTAAAGGGCAGCAGGGCTCAGTTCAGGGCTTTATGGATGCCGCCCTATTGATCAGCTCAGCTGGGTGTTCGGCTGTGGTCAGTGAGCAGAGGTTGATTTAATTAGCGTGAGAAGACCGACTAATGAACATCCTGATAGGAGGCTGAGGAACGGGAACGGAAGGAATATAGCCGGGTCAGCTGCTGAGTCATTACAACCGCGAGAAGACTTGACGTCTGAGCTTTATGACGTTATTAAGCAGAAATGAGACCTGAATTTACTGAAAGGACAGAGCTTCGAAAGTGAATTTGCAGTTATACTGCTTCATCAGCAGATGTTATCTTCCTAAAGTAGTAGTTCACTCAGAAATCAAATTCTGTCACCATGTTGATGCTAATCTTTTCTATAGAATAAAAGAAGACGACAAAAAATTATAGATCTGGCACCATAAAAGTCTGTTATGAGTAAATGACTGCAAAAACACTTAGCAAAAAGCATATCCTCATGAGGCTTGACATTCAGCTAAATATGGTTTGATTGTAACACTAACAATGCAATGTTCTAATAAGAATATAATACACTTTCTATTTTTTTATATAATTAAAAACATTAATAAAAATAAATAAATATATTTATCGACTAAAAATGTATTTTCATCTATTAAATGTATTTGATAATATACTAAATTAATTAAAAAAAACTAATATTGTTAGTAATAGTTATATTCTATTGCCCAACCAGTTATTAGGTTTAGGGGGCAAACACTTTTTCACACAGGGCCATGTAGTTTTGGATTTTGTTTTCCCTTAATAATAAAAACCTTTTATTTTTAGTTTACTTGTGTTATCTTTGACTAATATTTAAATTAGTTTGATGATCTGAAACATTAAAGTGTGACAAACGTGCAAAAAAATAAGAAATCAGGAAGGGGCCCAACACTTTTTCACACCACTGTATATTGTTTTTCATTGTAGTAATATTTAGAATAATATTTATGTTAAATATTTATATTAATACATTGAATAAACATAACATTAATAAATATATTGAATGCAATATAATAATAATAATACCAAAATATATTTGTCTTTGTCATTTGTCCTGTCATCTATTTTGATTTCTTTTTTTCACTAAGCCTTATTGAAATGCATTATGGGAGTTGCTATTTATTTTAATGCTGATCTGAAGTGCTGAGAATAAAGAACGAAATAGAAATAAAGAAATGCTAAAGTAAATGATGACAAAACCCATAATAATGAGCAGAATGTCCTCTCAAGTAGCTTCAATTCAGTGAACAAATAAATAAAATAAATATATAAATATACTGGTTCCTTTTAGTCATAGGTTTTCCCAGAAGTTTTTATTTTTAAATATTTAAATATTTTTTAGATAAATATTTAGCTAAGTACGTCTGTTCATCTGTATTTAGTAATATAAATTAAATATTTTAATTGTATTTGTATTTATTTTTGTTTGTATTTATCTATTTATGTAATTGTATTTAATGTAAATGTACATGTAGTTCTAAAATTACAAAGATATTACACCCCTTTTTTGTAGTAATTTGCCATGTACAGTTGATTTAGCTAACTAGTTTTTCAAAAAGGTAGCTATAACTCCCTGAAATGATGAGTAGCCTGTAGTTCTGCAAGCTAAAGAGTCGAAGCACTAGTGACAAGTTCTCTTATCGTCAGAATTGAGCTCAGAGAAGAAACTTGAGTCTGGCTTTACTCAAGAGACTCCAGCTGCGGTCAGTGAACTGACACCTAATTAAACCAGACGTATGTGAAAACGCTGGGGAAACACAGAAACAACTCTTACCAGTCTCTGCAGCATCGCTACGACATGCATGAGCAAACACTATAATGTGTCGTGGGCTGCAGTGACGAACCCCCTTTGATTTGCACCAAAACAAGCCTTTAAAAACTGAGATGTGTATAAACCATTCGTTCTAAACAGCCGATGTGCTTGCAGACGGGAAGATGGAGCCCTGCAAATGTGGAGGCCCAAACCTGCAGAAAAATAAAAATAAATAAATAAATATAAATCATAGTGAAATAAATGAAGAAATTTTAAATAATTGTAAAAATACATTTTAAAATGAATCAATTAAAAAAAAAAATGTAATAATAATAAATTATAAAAATGTAATTTAAATAGAATTTAAAAATAGGCGATTTATTTGCAGACAAGAGAATGGCGGCCTAAGCCTGTAGAAATTTAAAATAAATAAATATAAAAATAAACAAATATGAAAATTTACAAAAATAAATGAAAAAATTAAGAATAAAAATAATTGGATGATGTTTTTGCAGATGGGAAGATGCACTGCATATATGGGGGCCCAAACTTAAAGAAATTAAAAATAAATTATTATAAATAATAAATAAATAAAAATAATTAAATATGAAAAAATAAACGAAAGAATAAAAAATTATGTTAAAATGTATAAAATAATTGGGCGATGTGTTTTCAGACGGAAAGATGGAGCCCTGCATATATGGAGGCCAAAACTTATTAAAATTAATAATAATTATTAAAATAATAATAACAGTAATAATAAGAATAAATATAAATAAGAATAAATAAAAATTGTCATTAATTAATTAAAATGAAAAAAGAAAGTTAAAACGAATATAAATATACATTAAGTAAAAAAAAAAATAGAAAAAATTAGGACTAAATTGAATATAAAAATAATTTCATTTGTTTATTAAGCCATTTCTTCCATTATTATTTTTCCTGTTATCTATTTATTTATTTCCGCAGGTTTGGGCCTCCATGTGCATATATGGCAATACATCAAGAAGTGTGGAAATAGGCCATGCACGATGCAGCATGTTCTTGCCGTGGTGCTCACTCATATGCATACCTGTATGTTGGCCATAATTGCATTGTAAGAGTGAATCCTAACATCCTTGTTTGTTTTTAACTAGGTCAACCCAGATAAAGACATACTCCTGGGACAACGCGCAGGTCGTCCTGGCGGGAAATAAGTGTGACATGGAAGAGGAGAGAGTCGTGTCTTCAGATAGTGGCAGACTGCTGGCAGAGCAGCTGGGTAAGTTCACTCGTCCTAACCTCATCCCAAAAAGTGAGTTTGATTCCTCCAGAGACCAATTAGAAACTTCTGGACCTGTGGAGCCAGTCAGGTGGGCAGCATGATTTCATTTTAACTAGTTTTGCTTCAAGACCCAGATTTTGCATTGGACATTAAATCGAGACTGAAAAGTCAGTCTGTCATGTTTTTATTTTGTATTTTATTTTTTTAGTTTAAATAGATTTATTCATGTTTTTTTGAAGATGAGAGCGTGGCATGCAACCTACAAGATGGCTACAGATAAATTTGCATCAAAATACTGATTTTAATTGGATGCATAACCTTTGACATCATCAACAAAGGATGGGAAGTGTGTTCTCCTTTTTTTTAAAGTTGAAAGTCTGTTTATTGTGCTGTGCTCTATTGTTGATTGCATATTCAAATTTATCTTTGTATTTTCCTTTTTCTATCCTTAAGCTGATCAGAACCGACATGACCTATTTTTGAGCAAAGACCCACTGGTTGTAATTACAGCACAAAATTACTTTAAATAAATCTCACCGTCCATAAAAAAGCCTCATTTTTGCTCCTATATGAGCACTGTGATGGAATATATACCTTAGACGGCTCTCATGTTAGCATATCTTCATTGTGCATAAATTAGAACATATGGAGGGAATCGCAGCTTTGAACTCGGGCGATAATTAAACGCATATAATTGGATGACACCAGTATGTGCGAACGGCTCAGACTAACGTTGAACGGTGAAAATAGATAACACTTGCTGCATGTTTGGTGTGAAAGAGGACATACCCCTGCCATTTTCAGACCGTCAAATCAATTACATTTCATTAGGGATTGTCACGATTTGTAAAAGGCAGCAGCTATGAAATGTCACTGAATTAAGACGCTCAACATAACTACTGTATATATATCCTAACCCTAACTTTGTGTGAAATGCGCATGAGACTCAGCAAACAACTGAATCATTTGATGGTGACATGTTACTAAACTAACAATGTCATTCTTTAATAAGGACAAAATACACTTATAGTTTTTAAATATAATTATTATTATTAATAATGATAAACATTTAATTACTAATTCAAATTATTTATTATTTATTAAATACATTTCTTATATAAAAATAAATAAAATAAATGTAACATAAATATGATACAATATAAAAAATTAAATACATACAAAATAATTTAATATATTTAGTAATAACCAATATTGTGTAATATCAATATTCTGGCACCTTGATATTTTCACTATATATATATATATAGTGGTGTCACGGTTCGGTTTGGTACGTTCAGTACGGGGGTAATTGGTTACGTGGCAATGTTGGAAATATTTCTGTTTTAAACCATGAAGCTGAGCCAATGGATATCACACAAGCAACGTGCAAACTTTGCGCAAGAGTTATGCCGGTGAACATCTTAATCTCAATTAATTCACTGTGCAGAAAGTGAAAGTAAAAACGGAACATTCTGCATCTGATGCCGCATATTCTCTCAGAGACGACGAGAGACATCTACTTCAACATATGCTGATAACGGTATATAGCTAACTGTTTTCATTTATTCCCTTAATATTTCTCTTGTGGGCCGTACATAGTGAAAAAAAAAATGAGAAGAAACGTATTTCATGTTAAACAGGTTGTTTTTGAAAGTCAGTGCTTTAAATATAGTTATCCTCGCAGCGCGTCAGTTATGCAGTAATTATTGCGGGGCAAATTAATTGTAATTTTAATTTAATAAAAGTAACTTCATAATAATAATAGGCCTAATATAAATAAGAATGTAACAGGCCTACATTAATTGGAAATGCCAAATCCTCTTAATATTGCCAAACATTGATGTTTTTGACAATATCTCTGGCTATCGTTGATACAAGATCGTCGTCTTTCGACGTCTTTATCACGTGCCCATCCATTACATCATTTGTGCCACAAGCTCCATTACAGCTTACATTGTATTTTCCAAATGTAATAGGATTAGTCCAACGAATCGTTTGGTTTGTAATGCGTACCGAACCGAAAGCCTCGTACCAAACGGTTTAATACGAATACGTGTATCATTACACCCCTAATTTTTTTAATAAATCTGCAAAGATGTCAACAATTCTGTGTTTTTCTGTCAATATGGGGTGCTGTGTGTACATTAATGAGGAAAAAAAATTAACTTAAATGATTTTAGCAAATGGCTGCAATATAACAAAGAGTGAAAAATTTAAGGGGGTCTGAATACTTTCCGTACCCACTGTATATATGTAAGCTTAGTGAAAAAATAAATCAAGACAAACTGATCTGAGTGTGTGTGTGTGTACACACACACACACACACACACAATATCATTTTGTCTTGTTTTTCTGACATGATGGATTTGTTTTCACTAAGCTTGCAGAATTATGTTCTGGGATTGCTATTTATACTATATTTATATTTATATTATTGCTTGTTACATTAGTATTTAATTTATATTAGTTATATTAACTATTTATGTTTAACAAATATATGCATATATTGAATGGATATAATACTTAATGAAAATTGGTTTTGTTTTTCTGCCATATTGGCAGATGTTTTGTTTTTTTTCCCCATTTTTTGAAATGCATGTGGGATTGCCCTCACCAATATCAATACCAGTAAAACTGCCTTGATGAAGTGAGATATATGTAGAATATAATTTTCTCGCTAGGTTTTCTGACATCTAAACTGTGTTTTGGTGTCGTTTCTGTCTACCAGGTTTTGAATTTTTTGAAACGAGTGCCAAGGACAACATCAACGTGAAGCAGACCTTTGAGCGTCTGGTGGATATAATCTGCGACAAGATGTCAGAGAGTTTAGAGACTGACCCCGCCGTGACCACAGGCACCCAGGGAACGGCCCGGTTAACGGATAACCCTCCTCCACTACAGCAGCCCAACTGTGCCTGTTAGTGCTCAGTTTACATAGTAACATAAGTGTGTGTGTTTGTAACACCTTTAGATAGATGCATATATCCTTTAATGTCATAGAATACAGGTGCTGGAACAACTTGAATCTGATCAGTGCATGTCAGGAGTCATGTGACCCTTTACACCCAATGGAAACAAAGCTGTCACATGGATGCAGTCTTGATGAACGGCAAGCAGTTTTTCAGTGTTTTAAAAAGCAGTATGGATAAACCGCTTGAAAAATATTAATATGTTGCATTTCTTTGGTCATCAGTTTTTGGTATATTTGGCCTGTGAGTCTGTTGCACCACTAGGAGCCGTTCAAACAGGACAAGTTCTCGTATTCCAAAACATAAAGCCACAATGCAGGGGTCTTGAGGTGCTTTTTAAAATGATAAGATGCAGCGGCAAAAGACATCTGTCTGATGCATGTGAAAACAGACCAAACGAACCTAGGACGCAAGAATGTGTTGTGTACGAATGCTACTTTTGCCTGTTTTGTTCCAGCACCTTTGCACTAGAGTCACATCCGTCTATACGGTACCTAGTTCATTCTGACACTCTGTTTTCTTTACTGTCAATCAAAGTCCTAACGGCCTTTACAGCACTGTTATTTAATTCGTCAAGACTTCGTCCACATACATGCAGCGGCTGTTTATGAACTAATGACTTTGAGCACCACCGAACTGACCTTTCGCTAAGCCCAACCCCCTTAGTTATTAGTAAATGTAGTTACGAATAAAAACGTAGTTACGAATTAGTTTAGAATAAACTGGAGATTTTTGTGAACTCTTTATGACTAAGTACAATTAAACTGAGCCTTTCACTAAGCTCCGCCCCCTTAGTTACAAATAAATGTAATTTTGTAATTATGAATAAACTTAATTACATGGATAAAAATATAGTTACTAATAATAAAAATTTTGATTTTTGTGAACCCTTTATGACTGAGTACGATCAAACTGACCTTTCCGTAAGCTCCGCTCCTTTTGTTACATATTAACCTCATTTAAAGTTACGAATAAAAACTAAGTTGCGAGTTTGTTTAAAATAAACTGGAAATTTTATTGGATTGGATCTAACCTAACTTTAATTCTCCACCAAAGTTGGGGCTTAACAAATGTCGTTACGACTAAAAACATAGTTAAGAATTAGTTTAGAATAAACTAGAGATTTTCGATAAATTTATGAATTTGAACACGATAGCAACTGATCTTTCGCTAAGCTCCACCCCCTTAATTACAAATATATGTAATTTTGCAGTTATGAGTAAACGTAATCACATAGTTACATATAAAAAAGTAGTTACTAATTAGTTTAGAATAAACTAACGCTTTGAGCACGATCAGACTGACCTTTCGCTACGCCCCTTAGTTACGAATAAACGTAGTTACAAATAAAAACGTAGTTGCAAATTAGTTTCTTTATGAGTAAGAGCTCGATCAAACTGACCTTTTTCTAAACTCCACTTCTATAGTTGCGAATAAATAAAAAATCTAATAAAAACTTAGTTACGAATGAGCGTAAACTGGATATTTTTGCAAACTGTGATTTTTTTAATTTTATTTTATTTTTCAAATACTTTTGGATGATTCTAAATTGACACATTTTAAATTTTAAAAAATGTAAATATAATTACATAATCACACAGGACATCCTGTCTGGCAACAGTTGCTAATGTAGGATTGGCCAGATTTTGTTTTAGGGTGGGGCTTAGTGAAGGGTCAGGTGCTCAAGGGAAAGGATCTTAATGGCAATCCTACAAAATTGCATTAATACACACAAACACACTCTTTTCAGCCAGTTTTGTAGATCAGGAATTCATGCCATATTAATCTAAATGAAATTTCCCATCAGTGATATCAGCTGCGTAACTCTAGTGTGTGTATATGTGTACCGTAGATTATTAAAGATTACGTCATCTATATGAATACATGATCTATCTAGTGTATATAGGTTTGTATATACCTCAGTCAGATGAATATAATATTGTGGATTTAAGTAGCTGTTCAATACAGGGAGGAAAAATGTGCATTTAATGTTTCTACACATTTAGTTTGGTCATTGTAAATGAATTCACGCTGATGAAGTGAAATATTTATCTATTTATTCAAAGCAAACAGACTTTACAGTGAGAAAAAGAAAAGTAAATGTGCTTCATGAACTGCGTGTGTCTGATAACGAAACGTTCTTCTAGGTGAAGTGGATTTTGTATTTTTCCCCAAGCCCTTTATTCTCCATTTCTCTTTTCTGTTTATCGCTGTCGTCGGTTGTTTTTCTCTGCTGGCTAAAAAGCTACATTGTGGAGGATGTGATTTGCTGTCCCCGCTCTTATCTTGTTTTATGCTTATGGCCGGAGAGGATTCAGTGACTTTAGATGTTATAAGGAAACCGCTTCACTGTTGCCTGAGTCGGGTCGAAGCTCGCTGGAGCTTGTCTTGTAAAATGATGCAGCAATAGCCAAGGAAATGTGTCGGGCAGCTATTTTCAGAAGTGAGTCACTCATCAATATTTTATCCGACAAACCTTAAATGACTTTGGCCATGGATGGAAGTTTTTCTAATTTTTGAGTCAGAAATATAACATTTCTAAGGAAGAGCAGTTCTAGGACAAACTTCTTGAAATATGACAATATTCAGATTATATTTCACCTCAAAATGAAACAGAGAAAGAAAAAGCAGTTTTTCATATATTCATATATATATAATTTAAATATTGATTATTTTGGTCAGAAATATAACCTGGACATGTTGCTGACCGGTTTCATGAGATTCATCTTCTAGTTCAAAATGGTTTTATTTGTTTCTCGTCCCTAGAGATTGTCCAACTTTCAATGTGATGTATAATAATCTAAGTAGAATTAAGTTAAAAAATGAAAACACAGCCCTTAAACTACATGGTGTGGTCTGTAGATATGTGTGGTTTTGTGAGCGTAGTACAAAAAAAAAAGTTTATATAACATTAGGCTGACAATATCCGGCATTATTAAAAACATATTGCGGTCACAGACTGAATACGCCGGTACGTATATAGCTAATAGTTCATTGATGTGTCCTCAGAATAAAGAAAATCAGTAAGAAACCCACCTCGTTTCCCCACCAAAAGCCATGTTTAGCATTATCCCTGCATGAAATTGTATGGCATCTCTATTTAGATACCTGTATCTGTATAATCTTATTTGTTCATTTATGCGTCCCTCAGTATGTGGGGTGCAATGGGCCAGCAAGTGCAATATTTCGAAACCCTATCTCTTGTATATAGTTGAATGACTGTGTGTGTGTGTGGAGAGCGTCTCGATGTGCCATGCTGATTTTGCACACTATCATAACCCACATATGGATGATCGCTCTGCCTCACCTTCTGTGTTAAACTATCTTTGTGCTAACATTAAGACAAAATACTGTGGAGTTACATCAGTGTGTGAGTGTGTGTGTGTGTGTTGGTGTATATATTAGTATGGAGAACAGTAAACGTGTATCTTGTTGCAAGTCATCTCTGTGGTTTTCCTTTGTGTTTGTGTGTAAATCACATTCATTTAGTGCATGCATAGAGCTATATATCTGCAATCACTCTACTGCAATTCAGTAGTTTTACAATAGCTGTCATTTCAGGTGTACAGCATGCATAAAACAGCTTTTTAAATACAAGCTCAAAAGGGAGTGAAAACAGTAAAAAAAAGTACTTGTACTATAGTTCAGTTGGATATCAGATGGTAATGATTTCTGTATGTCAAAAGATACTATTTTACCATGCTATGTCCAAAAAAAACATGGTACTTTCTTGTTAGACAGTAAACCTCTTTGTTTGCATTTAAATTATTTATTTTCTTAATTTTATCAATGGCACATCAGATTTGCTTTTACCTTGTAGAGAAACTGTACAATTTCAAAAGTCCCCTCAGAACATTAAAATGTTCATTTTAATTTGTCTTAATTTATCTGAGGCTTTAAGCTACCGTCCCCAAAATATGGTGATTTTATTTAAAATGTTGTGATTTTATTCTAAATATTTTATTTAATCTAATCTAACTTTTGGTTTGTGTGGACAAAAATTGTTGGACCTAACTTGTGATATCCGCAGTGATTTCTAATATTTTATTTGAAGGAATCACTCTAGAGCTGGTTGTTCTGTATGTGTGGTGTGTGTATGACAAAAGTGTATCAATTACTGTTGAAATGACCAATAAATATTCCTATTGTGTTGATATTTCAGTGCTTTTGCTGTATTTGTAAAAGTTTTGGTTTCCAGGTGTCGTGCTGAAAATTGATTGTCTGTCGAAAACTGATTGCCGTCTTTAATCACTTTTTGGCAGGTGTAAAACTGCATTTTATGGGTTTTGTTGGCCATTTATTTCAATAGGTAAAAAGGACTGCATGAGCTATAATCTGTCAAATATAACCCTCATGAATGCAATCAAGTCATTTAGCTCATGCAGTCCTTTTTACCTGTTGAAATACCTTTGAATGGCCAATAAAACCCATAAAATGCAGTTTTACACTTGCCAAAAAGTGATTACAGATGGCAATCAGTTTTCGGCAGACAATCCATTTTTGGCACGACACCGGAAATTAGTTTTTTTTAACACTTCCGGTCCCATCATCCTGATTTTAAATGCCTGAAATAAGGTTCTCTTTCTAACATTCGTTCGGTATCTCACTATGGGAATGCCCCAGGCGTGACCGATTGCAGAAGCAGACCAATCGCTGCAGCGATCAGGGAGTCCCGCCTCCCTGTATATAAACCACAGCTACCTGCTGTCTCGTCATTCTTGCTCTCTTCCCCGTGGAAGATTTTCGGAAGCTGTCCTCAGCAGACTTTGGGAATTATTGCTCAACAGGTTACAGATGAAGCCGCAAGGTAACGTCCCGAATGCAATTTTTTCCTTAAAGCTTCGTTGAGTGACCGCACTTGGAGTTGGGTAACTAACATGTTAAGGTGAGTTTTTCAGCTCCAAGTTCTCCAAAAAAAAAAAAAAAAAAAAAGAGAGAGAGAGCTCACTACTCTCAGCACAGCTCCATACAAGTTTTCACGTTGTGGTGGACTTACCGTACGAAGAGAATGCAGTCGCTGTCATGGCCACCTCAAAAGAGCCAGAAAGCCACGGAGTCCTCCTCATCCTTGTGCTTGTGGAGCGTGGATTTCGGCCAAGGATTCTCACGATCTCTGCATCTCCTGCCTGGGCGCTAAACACGCTCAGGCAGCACTATCCAACCCCGAGGGCTGCCCTCACTGCGCAACTTTCTCGACTAAAACCCGAGAAAGGAGACTCCGAGTGGCAGCCACAGGAAAGTCGGACCCATGCCTCTCTGCTCAACCCAGAGAGGAACCCATGGAGTGTCCACAGACCTCAAGCTCGTGGGGAGATATGATGGATAGTGTGTCACCAGTTCTTCCCCTGCTGTTTGAAGATCCTTTAGCGGGAGAGGAAGACGATGATGACGAGGTACTGTCGACCATCCTCGAAGACGAGGATGACGACGAGGATGCCATTCTCCCTTCGAATCAGTCCCGTCCGCCAAGCGCGCAGGATGTGAGCTCACCCTCCCCTGTGCAGGTGGACACAGATCTGCTGGAGGATTATCGTAGGACCTTGGATAAGCTGTCCATCGATTTGCCATCCCAACCGGCAATGAAAGGGGCTGATAGAGACCTCTACGACGGGAAAAGGCTCCCATCACGTCTCCCACCAGCGAGACAATTTATGCCGGCCGTCCCGGCATGCGTTGCCAAAATGAAAAGGTTTTGGGATAAGCCTTTTTCGCATCGGGTTCCCGTCAAGGGCTTCTTGAGACTGGACGTACAGGGAATGAAAGATTTAGGGATGGCAGATCCTCCCCATGTGGAAGCGTCTGTGGCGAATAATTTACACCCAAGCCGCAGGGCAGCTCTCTCTTCAACCGGAGCCTCGCTGCCAGGGAAAACAGAACGCTTTGCTGCCTCTGTTTTCCAGAAGATTTACAAATCCTCCGCGCTGGCGGTTCGCGCTTTGAACGCGACGTCTCTCCTCACGGCCTATCAAGCTGAGCTTTTTGAGGAAATGGGTCGTCAACTGGACTCCGGATCTCCCAACCCAGCGCTCTGGGAGGAGATATGTGTCATCGCAGCTTTAAACCTGCGTACATCTTGCGGAGCCGTGCAAAGTTGCGGACGCAGCATGGGCTTGGTGGTTGTGGGAGAGAGATCGCTGTGGCTGAGCTTGTCCGGACTCTTTTGAGAAAGAGAAAGTGGATTTTTTGGATGCCCCCATCGATCCAAAAGCTCTGTTCGGAGCGACTGTTACAGCGATGTGGCAACAATGCGATCTACGGAAGAGGGAAGGGGAGGCATTCGAGGTTTGTCTGCCCAGAAAGCCGGTGGCTCGGCCTTATCATCCGAGCCGGCCAAGTTTCAGACCCTCGGGGAAAGTAGGTCAGTCTGATTATCAGCCTTCCCGCCCCGCCGCAACAACCGGGAAATGCAGCCGCGCAGACAAAGCCCGGGTTTGTGAAACCAAAACAGTCGTACGCAGCCGCAGCAACAAAGCATCGTTCAGCTAACCCCCAGGGCAACAAGAAGCGGCGGGCTACCAGAGACATCAGTTCAGTTTCAGGAAGGGATTGGAGACAGCACTCAGAGTTTCTCGGTCTCATCCCTTCAGAACGTTCCACTTCTCCCCCTCCCCCGCGGGGAAAAGGAGAAGGGATTCAACTACAAGAATCGTTCCTGCAGACCGTTCAGTGTCAAATGTATGCAGACGTGTGA